GTAAAAAAAGAGGCTGTTTTTTTGCAAAAAAAAAAAACAAAAAGCTAAATATGGTCATTTTTGCAAAAAGTGTAAATCTGGCCATTTTTGCAAAAAATGTAAATATGGTCATATTTGCAAAAATAATGTAAATTTGATCATTTCATAAATTCAGTTTTTTTTCTCTTAAATAAATATATAAAATAGTTATTGCAATGAAATACAAAACTGGTTACTTTGGTTAGTAATTTAACTATTAGATAAAATAGGCTATTTTTGCAATTTTCTTTCAAAAGAAACATATGACCATTTTATGAAAAACTGAAAATTTTATTAAAGTGGTCGTTTTTCTGAAATTATATCAATATAAAAAAAAATTAGTATATCACTAGTTGTTTTAAAAGGGGCCTAGTCATTTTATTTTATTTTTAAAAAGAATATACTTTTTTTTTCTTTTGTTGTTATCATCAAGTAGTGACACTTAATATATTTATTTGTTTTTTTATTTTAAAAAAAAAAAATCTTTGCTCAAGTCTATATGTTGCAACAAGTTCTTTTTTCATTTCTTTTTTCTTTTCTCATTATTAAATAAAATTTGAGTCATGAATTATCAATCTTTTTTTTTTAGAAAAATAAAATAAACTTTAAATACCATCATGTGTTCGATTACGATCCTTGGTGTGTATTCTTTCTAAAAAAGTGATTTTGTGTGCGGTTACGCTCCTAGGTCAATCATTTTTTTTATTAAAAAAAAAGATTAGTAACTAACACAAATTTATTCTTTTATCCAAAAAATTATTTTAGCCAAACATGAGTTGATAAAGCGACCGTGCTAGAACCACGGGACTCGGGGGTGCCTCACACCTTCCCTCCAGTCAATAGAATTCCTTACCCAATCTCTGTTTTCGTAGACTAAAAATAAAATGATTTTTTTTCCTCTTTTTTTAAATTAGGAATTACTAGGTGACTTGGAACACCTAAAAAACTCATTTTCAAGTGGCGACTTTTTTTAAAAAAAAAAACATTTTTCTTTAGTTTTATATTTTTTTTTATTCTTTTTTTTTTAAAAAAAAAAAACCGTCATATCCATAACTATTGTAAAAAGAGAAGTGGTGTGACATTGTTTCTCTCTTGTCTTTCTCTTCTTGTCCATTTTTTGCCTGTATCTCTCCCTTTCATATATCCCTTGCCAATATATCTCTCCCGTTAATGGCCACAACCATGTTTCATATGGATGGTAATTGTCATCAGCAGCTTCTGCCAAGTCTTCATCCATACTCTTCAACAATGTCATGTTGAAGTACTTTGCCCACATATATCCTTTTCGCTGCTCAACTGAGCGCTGCTCTTCCACCGCACCTAAGTGAGGATTAATGTAAACCATATGTCGTTCACTGTGATACGCCCAGACATTTACCAACAATTACAAAACCCGACACTAACAGTGTTGCTTCTGGTGGTCACAAACAATCAAAACATAAGAACTTATCCTTCTAGCCTGCATTACTTTGAAGTTTAGCAATAGTGTACATTGTTGCAAGTAACAATTTTTTAAGCGTCATATACTTGAGAAACAGAAACGGTTTTATGAATACTCAATTAAAGTATTGGTTGCACTTGTCATTTGTTTCTTATAAGCTCGTTCAAAGGTGTAGCGTAGTGATCAATAAAGTGGGATAAAGTCAAGGGACACCAAAATTCCTAACAGAGTCAGACATAGCAGCAAGATATTCAATAGCTTTGACTCAGCAGAAGATGACACCAACAACTATTACCAAGAAGAATATCTAAATACTTTAACACTAAACGGTCTCCCACCACATAGGTATTGAAGATAATACATCACAAATTACAATCATGAAGAGGCGGTAACAAATATCAATATGGATAGATTTTGACATATGCATGTTAGAATTAAAGGAAAATGCACTCATCATGTTGCTAAGTAATTTAGACCCTTCAAATGGCTTATGCAATGGCACCCGAATCATATGCCGAGGCTTCACCCAAAATGTCCTGCATACCGAAATATCAAGTGGTCATTCTGCTATGAAGCATGTGTTTCTTCCCAGAATTCAACTATCACCACCAGAAAATGAAGGATATCCATTAAAATTCATTCGAAAGCAATTTCCAGTACGCCTTTGCTTTGCAATGACTATAAATAAAGCGCAAGGTCAAACAATTCAAAAGGTTGGTTTGTATTTGCTCGAACATGTTTTCTCACATGGTCAATTGTACGTGGCACTCTCAGGAGGGATATATATGTCCACAACAAAAGTACTTGTCCTAACAGAGCAACCCAAACGTCAAAATGGGACATACACAAAGAACATCGTCTATAAGGAAGTTTTAGGTACGATAACCCCATATACATATATGGTCATTGTAACACAGATAATTTACTCTTTACAGATCCTACAGTCCTAACAACATTACATTGCTTCAAAACTCAGGTTTAGAAGACACATACACACCTATGCAAACATAATGGATTTTTCATTGACCCATACTCTTCAATGCATTAATGTCATATTCATAATAGTTCTTTGAGTATCTCAATCCTCTCACATATATAGATGGTGACATTTTACACAATATTGTACACACTAAAAACGTGAGCAAGAAGAAGAAGACAGATACTCCATACTTTATTCTATTGTTTCTTTATGATTTACTGTTTAAGTTTTTTCTTTGTTGGTATTGTATTGCATTCTAATGTTTTAATATTATCATTATTCATAATTTACAGTACTTTCATGCTTCTATTTTGACGCTTCATATTAACTTCATGTTGTCGTTCCTACATATTATTAAATGCATAAATTATATCTTTTTCCCTATACGAGATCAATAATAGCTCATGCACTCATCAGAAGACTAATTAACACAATGTACACTTCTACTACATCAATAATAATGCACTAACTCATAACAACACTGCTTTACAAATGTCTCTCCAGAGAGAATGATACAACTTAACATGGCTCACACGTGCAGCGCACGTGTCCATGACTAGTAAGTTATAATAACATGAACAATACTATGATATTCAACGCGGTTAAATGTCTTCACCAGGGGCGGACCTATTTGGTTGCAAGTGGGTTCATTCGTCAAAAAGCTACATTGTATATACATATATATTCAATCTATTTTTTGAAACAAAACACTGTATATAATTAATTTGACCCCACTTAAACCAATAGTAACACATAGCCCAACGGCAAAGTGGGTACGGGAAGGACCTTAGCGAATATAGTTTGCTTTTTCACTCTTTAAAAATTTATTTCATACTACACAAAATAGTAATTTAATTATTATCCTAAATTTAGGATTTTTATTTTCCTAATAGGTAGGAAATCGAATTCAACTAAATTATGTGTCTTTAATCATTTGTTATTTGAACTATGCAACATCAAAAATTGAAAAAAAAAAAAAAGTGACACCAAAACAATCAAAATATGAATTTTTTCGTGCGTCAAAAACTTCTGTTAGTGTTAAGTTTCGAAGTCTATTCTTATTTATATGATTACTAATTTTAGTGTACGTGTGTTGCACATATCAATTCTCGTAAATTATTTGTCTCTGATTTCATGTAGTGAATAATGATATGAATCTGGATCATAAAATCTACAATTGAGCAGTACACAGAATTAACAAGATCTCTAGGATAGTTCAACGATAGGCATAATATATGCAATGTCTTGTTCTATATTCGAAACGAAAATATAACAACACCAGAGAAAAATATATAGAAAACTCTAACCAAATTATTAATGAAATGATTGTCTTCATTTAAACTTTTCTAGCCTTCGTAGTTGTTACATCCTTGGGATCCTTCGTAAACAGGGGTCAAACTAAGCTTTCAATGAAAATGTTTCCCTTATAGCTAGTAATCTTTGAATATCTGATCGAGTAAAAAAAATTAACTTTCGGAGGTCAGTATCTTTATTATTTTCTTTTCAAAAATTATCGATCTCTAAGGTTGATCTTTTAAACTACACAATAATAAAATGCACCATCTCAAGTTTGAACCCTCCCCCACCCAAGAAAAAAAAATGTTGTATATACAAGTAACATATTACACGAAATGATTAAAATAACATATTTTGGACACCCTTAACACAACAAGCTATTGTAGCCCAGTGGTTTCACCTCCTTGGAATGAGGTAGTGCTCGTGTGTTCAAATCTCACTAGTGGACACCCTTTGTGAAATTCCTGACTCCGCCACTGAATTAGGCAAATATGTTTATGATCACTAGACCATTGATGCTTGTCGGTTTAATATTTTCCATTTTCTTATTTATACTCTACAAATGTATTTATTTTTGCAAAATATCAACATCCAGAGGTCGATTTTGTTATAAAAAAAATAAGTTAAAATATTTTTTAAAAACCGACATCTTTTTTTGGCTTTTTGACCTTCTTTTGGTAGTGTTTATTTCACATGCAAAAGAATAGACAAACTGATCACCCACAGGATCATTAAGAAGATAATATTGATGTAAATATGTTCAAGACTCCTTAACACGATACTCCTTCCAAACATACACATCGGCATGCATTCTCTTATAGTTACAAAACACACAAAGATCGCTTCTCAAACATACTGGACTTGTTGCACAACATCACTATTTAGACTATATTTTGATATTAACAAGATGTGCATTGTCATAACTCAAATTTCGGAAATCTGTCACTTCTTCATAATCATCTCAAAGCTCATCATATCCAAAATCACACATGCATTTGAAACCCATAGCTCTCTAGAGATGAGCAATTTCTCGAATTTCCTGATGGATTCCTTCCACATAAACAAATATCTTTCTTCAATAGAATGACAAATCAATACAGACATGTCTACTTGTAAGTTGAAAGACATAGATGTCAACTGAAGTCAAAGTATAGGGCACGTTTATATATAATGTCTTTGTATTCACAGACATGATAGTTTAAAGATTGATTCTTGGAGAAGTAACGATGACTTCCCAGTGAGGTATCATTCTATGAAATGGGTAAGTTTGTAAAAAAGAAGCTTCATTGGAATAATAATGCTAGTCTCATTTCATTTCAAGTACGTTATCATAATTTATAGCAACAAAATGACAAGGAACCAACAAAATGTGATATGCAATTAGCTAGCCAGCGTATGTGAAGTCTTGCTCTACGCACAAGGAAATAACGTTAGGACCCAAAAATAAGAAACAGTAAAAACAGAGAAAAGCCATCCTTCCTCATTGCAATCCTTTCAGACAACTAGTAGTAGATTAGTTGTTCCTAGCATCAGCATTCACGTCCTGAAAGTTCAATAGTACATATCAGTTAACAATTCACACGCAAACGTCACTTTCATTAGAAACTGAATGTGTTATTTAAGCAAAGAGCTGAGTTCCATTGTCAAAGTTGCTTCCATTCAACTTCTAAGCAATGGACACAAAACAAACATAGCGTTGTTCACTAATCTGGTGTCAAGATGAAAAATGATGCAACATCAAGCAGTTGTCATACTGATCCTACATATTATGCTGCCAATAAAAGGGTAACCAGTTGGGTTAGAGCAACCTACTTAACCCATCAAGCTCCAGTAAATCTAATTCGTTAAGAATCTGAACACACATCACAGGCCAATAAGGTGCTTGGCCTTCACTACATTTCTCTCTTGCTTCCTCAATTTACTGATCCACAAGGACGTAAATCAACAAATTAAATCACAGTATAACTCAATGCATGTCTATTGAATTCTTGACATTGTTACAAGGATTAGCTAATTTTTCCCCATTATAGCTTGGCTACAATGACTTGGTTTGTTTTCAAAGTACCATGATAGATTGTTGATTGCACAACAAGTGTTGATCAGAAATGCTTTAAACTAAGGTTTGCATCTCTCAATTACTGATACATGAGCATCACACATATTTTTACTTAAATATGTGAAAGATGAACAGAATGTACAACACTTTTGTTTTAAAAAAGGAAGTCTGATTATAGATACTCCAACATGATAAAGAATTCACTATTGTAGGAAGGAAAAAAATCTGTTAGGAATCACAGATGGAAAAAATTGTATTTCTGTTTACTTTACAATAGCCAGTGTCCTCTTAAATAAAGCTCATCCCCGCATCATTTTCTCCTACATTACCCTGTCTTTTGATACCCCTCCGCACTATCATGACAACAATAGTTAAATTTGCATCCTAAAATGCTTTACCCTTGAAATTTACCACACTAAACTCAATAAGTCGATTCTGACTTTGATTGACCAATAAGTCAAAGAATGAGAAGATAGTCTAAAAGAAAAATTACAGCTAGGTATTAGCAGCACAGACAACTCCAAACTAATGCTGAAGAAAATAAGAGATTTGTTATTAGCAACAAGGTAAAATACCTACAGTGAACACCATGTCAAACCTTAAGGATGCTCCATAATTCTTGTGTTTCCGCCTTTTCCCCTATTAAGTTATAACCTAAATAAGATTATTGGGAAGCCCCCTATATCAAACAATAACCCTAGCAAGAGCTACACCTAGGTGTTATTGTCGCATTTCACCTGCCATGGAATGTACTGTTAACTTATCTGATGTCTAAGATGGACCATGGTGCAACTTAAGCAGTATACATGGTCTACTATAAATACCAAAAAGAATAAAAAAGCAAAGAATAAATTACAAGCATCACTCATTCTTGTCCAATACTTTATGCTACAAAAATGGGTAAAATTAGTTGATTTAGAGCTGGATATTATGTAGAAACCATCCCCTCCTCTCTAGCTCCAGTAAATCTAACTCAGAAAGAAATTACACATTTTGGCTTCATTCCCTTTTCTCCTTCATATCATTTCACTAATGCACAGCAATAAGTTATCTCAATTTAATGGATCACAAAGGACACAAATCAACAAATTGAACCTCAATTAAGCTGATATGCAAGTCTATCAAATTCTTGGCATTGTTTTCTTTCAAGGACTGGTTAATTTTCTTCTTATAGCTTGGCTAATTGACTTTGATCAATTTTTAGATGCTTCATTATAGGTTGGTTATAGAATAACAAGTGGATGTTTGAACTTAGAATTTTTTTAAGCCAGGCTTTTATCTCACTTGGTGATAAATAACCTCGCACATATTTGAACTTTAATATTGTAAAATATATCACAGAACATAGAGAAGTTCATTTTTTTAAAGTCAAGTTTAGATACTGTGAACATGATAAAAGAATTTACTATTGTATGAAGAATTGATGTTCAAAGTAACAAAAATGACAAAAATTGTATTCACATCTAATTAGACTAGAGGGGACCTACTTAAATAAATCACATTCCAGTATCTTCTCCTAATTTACCCTATCCTTTGGTACCCCGCCGCATTCTCATGACCACAACAGCTAAAGTCACTTCCTGCAATGCTCAACCATGCAATGTGACATTGCTTATCTCAACGTTACTTTTTGATGAAGATCTCAACAACGTTACTGCCAGAGTGGAAGTTGATTCAGTCTTTGACTGACCAAATAAGTGAAGGAATGAGAAGATAGTCATAAAGAAAAAACTCCAAACTAGTGCAGAAGAAAATAAGAAATTAATCTGTGAGACTGAGGATGAAGACATCAAGCACTTCAACCAAATAACTATTCCCAGAGTGGAAGTTGATTCAGTCTTTGACTGACCAAAGAAGTAAAGAAATGAGAAGATAGTCATAAAGAAAAAACTCCAAACTAGTGCAGAAGAAAATAAGAAATTAATCTATGAGGTTGACGATGAAGACATCAAGCACTTCAACCAAATAACTATTCTTCCAAAAATATTGTTGTCCCCATGAAGCAAAAAAAAAAACACTAACAAGGCATCCATGAGGCTATGGTTCAAAGACAGGCATAATATATAATATCTTGTTCTATATTTGAAAGTAAACAGAGCATAACAACACTTGAGGAATATACAGAGAAGTCTTACTATTAATCACACAATTGTCTTCATCAGAGCTATTTCAATCTCCTCCGTTGTTGCATCCTTGATTCCTTCCGTTGAAAAAAAGGCCAAACTAGGCTTTCTATGTAGATGCTTGCCTCATAATCATAGCCAGTAACCTCTAGATGAGGGCTTCTATGGGTGATTGAGTGATCCTTTGCATTATAAATCATGAAAGTAGAGCCAAAATGAAACAAAACTTCACCTTTATTTGACATGCAAAAGAATTGACAAAACTTATAACCCATCCTAGGATCACAAGGAATATCAATGGTAAACATCTTTATCCAAGATTCTTTAACCCCATACTCCTTCAAAACCCACACGTCAGCCTGAATTCTTCGATAATTAGAAAACACTGAAAGATCAGTTCCCAAAACTCCCAGTGTCCAACCAAAATCTCCTTCTCCATAGTAAGGTTGCTCCACTTCTCCCCATGTCCTATCAGCCAAATCAACAGAAATGATATCCCAACCAGACCGACGATAAACACTATTAGCCCAATGAAGTTTCCCGTTCACAAACACACCCGACTTAGTTCCTAGCACCCCACTCTCAAAATCCTCCAAACTTGTCCAAGAATCACTATTCAGACTATACATTTTAACCTTAACAAGAAATGAATAGCCATACCCCTCATTATTAAACCCTGCCACTACCTTATAATCCCCATGAACCTCATCATATACAAAACCATACATGGAATGGTGACCAAAGCACAACTCATCTCTACATTCAGGCAATTTCTTGAACTTCCTAATTGATGGATTCCAGATAAGAAAATATTTTTTTGCAATGACAAGACATATTAACCCATTGACAGAACCCACAATCTCAACAGATCTACGGATTTCTTTCGTAGGGTACTCCAAATCTAATGCCTCAGCAACAGAGTCATAAAGCAAAGAACTAGCAGAACAGTCCTTAAGATTATACTTAGGTAGACAAAAACTCAACATAAACCTATGGTGAGTGAAATCCTTGTTATTTGCAGATTTGCTGAGATGGGTGTTGATAAATTCAGGGTTTGAGATTAAACCAAGCCAAGATTTTGAAACTGACCTGAATTTCAAAAGGGATTTCACCGGAAGCCGTAAGAGGATTTGAGTGACGAGCTCTTCTGGCAAAACAGGGATTCTTGAATCTTTAACTGAAGTGGAAGGCAATTGAGCAGACTTATGGGTGTTTTTTCGCTTTGGGGGTAGATTGGAAGCTCCATTTCTCTTAGATTCCATTTGGGTTTCAAGAAATTTGTCTTCTCTGGAGGTTTTTGATGTTTATTAGGTTTTAGGGGAAGGCGGGAGGATCTTTTATTTTCCCTCCTTGTGTTGAAATTTTTGACTAAGCGACGTCGTTTTCGCATGCTTACGGATTTACTTATGTCCTTATAGAATTGATACCTAGGTATTGTAACAAGCCATGCATACGATCCACGTTCATTGCACTTGAGTTGATGGTCATTCAAATTTCGAAATAACTTTTCGTTGTAATAAGATTTGTATAATTTTTATCCTATCCAAATTTTACTTGTAGGATTTTTATTAGTATATTTTAATGAGCAACTTTCACATATAGCAAACATAAAAATCATATTTGTATGTTATAGCTATAGTTTGCATAATTGCGTTCCCTATCAAATTTTATGTTTGCTATGGAGCCTTTGATTTGTATTATTCGCTACAAACATCCAATTTTATACAAATTGTTCACTTTGTATAAATTCATTTATACATTGTAATTTGTATAAAAAAAATCTGTATTTGTATAATTATAAGTGTATAGAACGAAAATATATGTATTTGTATTTATATATACACTTTTCTCCCGCTTTATAACAAACACAAACGCATTTTATACATTTTATATCGAAATGTATAAAATGACTAATTGTATACCGAATCAAATGGCAAAAAAAGGGATGTTTGCTGCGAATTACAATTAAAATAAACTATGGCTATAACATTTAATTTGAATTAATAGTTTGCTATTTTATACAATTTTCCCTATTATTATTGTTGTTGTTGTAACAACTCATACATAGGGTTGACTTTTTGACCCAAAATGATTATTATTTTGTTCATTTAATTTATATAATATAGTTTGATTTGATACGAAATTTAGCAAAGAAATTACTATCCCCTCTATTTCAAGCCTGTGTTTAAAATAAATAATAATTATTTATGTGATTATAAATAATTTCATTTAAAGATAAAATAAATATTTTAAAGTTAAAGTATTATCTATCAATTCTTTTTTATAAATTGAAGTTAAACATACGTAATTATCTCAATTTTTTTAGTTTCATTAGTGAAGGCTTGAGTTGGCTATTTGGGTCACCTGATTGTACATATTATTTTATTTATAAAGTGGTCAGGGGTCTTTGATTAAAAAAGGAGTTTTCTATTCAAATTATCACTCAATAGTTAGCAAAACACAACTCAATTAATTTCTCATGATATGTGTAGAGTTTCTCTTTTGTTTAAGAGTTTTGTCACACAACACTCTATGTGGAAAAATAATTTCATTGTAGAAAATCTAAATAAATTAATATTAAGTTAAAGTTAAACTATCATCATATAAATTAATTTATCCCAATGGGAATATATTCACCATCTTCTCTTCCATCTTCTTAGTCAGGGTTTCATCTCTGTTATGATGGTGATATCTCCGACTTGAAAAAGGAAAGTTTAAGATTTTAAAGAATTCAATTAAAAATATATTTAAAAAATTAATATGTCAATAAATAAAGTCATTATATATATTAGGTGAATTAAAATTTTATAGATAAAACGTTTAGATATGTTTGGCTAAGTATTAAGTCATAACTCAAGTAAGAAATTCACGTTTTAACTAGTTTAATTTAGATATGAAACTCAATAAAGGATAATTTAGATGTGAAGTAATAGCTTAAGCACAAACACAAGATGTTTAACTCTTTACTGGTACAAAACCTTTCATAGCAAAAATTGAACTTGAAGAGCTCAAGTTTCTGCAACCCAAATGGATCTATTCTCAATTTCCTTCAACTTCAATGAAAAATTCAATCTTGACGACAATCCATATGTTGCCAGCAAAACTCATTACTAAAATTCTGTCAAGGCTACTAGTGAAATCCCTCTTGAAATTTAGGTGTGTTTCAAATCTTGGCTTACTTTGATCTCTAGCCCTGAATTTATCAATACCCATCTCAGCTTATCCACTAATAATTAATAACAAGGATTACACCCGACATTTGCTTATGAATTATGATGAATCATCGTGCAGCTAAAAATGGTCTTCAAGATTTTACCGTTAGTTCTTTACTTTATGAGTCAATAACTTAGGCATTTGAATTGGATCACTCCTACAAGAAATTGCAAAATTGTTTTTCGATTGTAGTTTCTGTCAATGGATTGATTCATCTTGCTATTGAGGAATATGACAAAGTACAAAAAATTGCCTGATTCTAAACCTACATTAAAGAGGAAAGACTGTTGACTTTTATATGGTTTTCGATATGATGAGACATGAGTTACGTGATGATTATAAGGTAGAGGCTATTTTTTAAAAATATAGCAGTCGGGATCAAAATATATAGTTTACAGAGTGATTCTTGGAAATGTGTTGATGAATGTCTGAATAAGAAGCTACTAAATATGCAGGTAATTAAGTTTGTGATATGGGAAACTTTATTGGGTTACTCATGGCCTTGATATGTTTAGTATGTATAAAGACGGGAACATCATTTCTTTTGATTTGGCTGATGAGAAATGGGGAAAGGTGGAGCTGCCCTCCCATGGAATAGGTCATTTTTCTTTGATTCTTCGACTCATGTCTGGAAGTGATTTTTCTGTTGTGATAACATGGTAACTCATATGGATGTTTGGGTTATGAAGGTGTATGGGGTTAAAAAAAATTTGGTGCTCCGGTGTTAACTATCGAGTATCCTTTTGTGGATAATGATTATATGCTCTTTTCACCCTCTTTCATATCAAATAAAGGTGGAATTTTGGTTTGTTTTAGATCTAGTAAAGTCATGACATATTCTACTTCACTTCATCAAAAAAGTATTTTCATGAGGTTTCAGATATTCAGAAGTTATTGACTTTAACTTTGACGATTGACATCTTGCGGCAATCTACATTGAAAGCTTAGTTCGCCCGCCCGTTATCTACAGAAGGGAGAAAGAAGGCCGGAAAAACTCAGGTGACAACATCAAACTACAAATAACTTGAAAGAGTTTCACACTCTGCATTTTCCTTACATGCTATTAAATTATGTTTAATTGTTATCTCAAATATAAACAATGCATACGTAAAGGGTGTCTTTAAACCACATTGCTCGAGGATATTATTAGTCATTTTCCGTTCATGCACTACTTTTTTGAAGCAATAATTTTGTCTTCCACTTCAAACTAATATTTAAAATGCAAGGGGTAAGGGGTGGTGGGCTTGCGGGTGAAGATGAGATGTGTTGGAGGACTATGAAGACATAATCAATGTGGAATGACACTTAGAACTTGTTTTTCCTGCTTTCACTAGGGAAGTCATTTTCCTCATTTTTAAGAAACTTGTTTTCATAGAAAATGTTCTCAATTTTTTTTTGGTGAGAATCCATTCAAGCTAATAAAATCCTTGACGAATGCAACTCGAGTTTTGCATGCAGAAGAAACAACGAATGCAATAATGAACAGGGAGATCACTATATTCAAGTTTGAAGGGACTCCCCATTGTATCAACTTTGTTGATTGAATCAAGAAACAGTTGTTGGGTTTTAAAGATGTGAATGAAAAATGATGTGACTTTTGGGATGAGTTAAGACTTTATGGAAGGGTTGTGATTTTGTCACACTACTCCAGTAACTATAGTAAGTATTTTTTTTAATTATCATTTTTATTTTAGTCTATTGAATCTAGAAAACAAAATTAAAAAATGGTGTAATATATTAGAGAAAAGAAAACGAAGTAACTAAATAAATAGAAAATAATAAAATATAAATTGTAGAGAAATAAATAAATGAATGTGGGCAAAACCTAGTGCAATATAGACGGCTCAACAGAAATAAATAAGCAGTTATACATAAATGTTGGAAATTATACAATGGATTCATATAAGGTAGTACAGGAAAATAAAATATACAATAAAAATATAGAACCAAACAACACTAATGAAATTTTATATGTACACAAATACGTATAGATAAGTACAATATAGGAACGAAATATATACACATTAATATATACAAATAGGGTTTATATAAATATCTTGGATTGTTCAGTTTCGTTTTGTTCCATTGAACCAGGAACGACATCATCATTTGTTTTGGACTCATTGCGAGTAGAAGCAATTTCCTTTATTTTCCTCTTCTTTTTAGACCCATAATCTGTTCTACCTTTTGCATTTGTTGGTCGTTTCTAAGCTTGGATCTATATTCTTCGCTTGATCTGATCTGATCGACATATATGGATTTCGTAATATTTACCTTGCAATGTCTTCCAAATATTGTGTTAGATCCAAACAAAAAGATGGAGGATCATCAATACTATTGTCATGCAATTGAATATCTCGAGTAATCTTTTTTGATAGAGTTTGAACATCTATTATTTGTGAATAACTACTGAATTAACTGTAAAATTGAAGATTGAAGATGAGATCATGACACCATTAGGAGGGAGAAAAAGAGCATTCAAAATTCAAATATGAAATTGTTGAGAGATTTTAGGAGCAAAATCAGTGAATAGAGAGATGAAAGATAAATTGTGATTTGTCTATTTTGGTATACAAGTCGGGAGAGATGTGTTTTTATTTTAGTGGGACCCAATTTTAATAGCAAATTTCATTAAACTGTAATCGTGATATATAATTAAGTGAAACTATTCAGTAAAATCTCACTAAATTAATACTCGATAAATTAATAATCTCTCTAAGAGAATTATTAAGTGAAACTATAAGGACTACTTTGATGAATATTTCATTCTTTAGCTCCTTTCTTTATCCTTTACTTTTTTAGAGCGTATCGCTATTTTGAAATAAAAAAAAGGCTGACCTTCTATTTCGGAGATTAGAGCAGAAGAACTCCGTAATATAATTAAGTGAAACTATTCAGTAAAATCTCACTAAATTAATACTCGATAAATTAATAATCTCTCTAAGGGAATAGTTTCTTTCGGTCTAGACTTGGGCCAATGAAAAAAATCACTCATTTCTATAAGATAATAAGATAATATATTTTTAGAAGATTCCTATGTAAATATACGGTCTCATCAATATTATAAATTAATAATTCTTTAAAAGTACAAATATATCCAAGACAATTTAGTGAAATATGATTCTATTGT